ACACAGACAGGGTCGTCCCAATATGCGTTTTTGCAATTTGCACATAGGCAAAAACGCATAATAATTCAAGTGCGATGCAGATACGCATGATCGCACGGGCCCGCCCGGTGCGTTCCAGCTTGGGTTTTACGTGGCCTAATCATAGCATGTGTACCCTGAAGCTTTTTTAAAAATCATTTATAAATTATAATAAAGCTGTATACTGTTTGACTGCAACATGTTTTATCCAGTACAAATAATTCGATGGCCGCGCACAATGTTATGGAATTGTTACACGGAAATCTAGGAGTAGCATACTGAATTCTTACATAAAAATCATGGAAACCTTGCAAGAAGCTTCAGTGGTAAGCACTCGAAACGGCTAACCTTTTTTGAAGCTATGTTTTGCAGCGCAGCAACGGCCGAGGGTGGATCCGCAAGAAAACACGGTAGCCGAAGGAGAACCAGCGCGTTTCCGTTGCTGGGTGCCTGGTGATCCAACTGCTCGCTTAACTTGGAAGATGAAGGGCAATGGTCCATTGCCGCACGGCGCACAGCAACATGAAGGAATTTTGAATTTCGCGAGCGCTGGGCGGCAGCATGCTGGTAGTTACATTTGTACTGCCAGCGATCCGGAAGGGCGCAAACCACCAGTCGATAGCCCGGTGGCGCGGCTGATTGTAAGGCCATGTGAGCTTCCTTTCTTCTAGATGAAATTCAAATAAAATCGTATTGCACACGTGTTTCTTTTCGCCTCACTCTTAATCCCACTACCACTGGTATATCCCGGGAGGAAAAAGAGCTCATCCAAATGTGGTTTCTTTTTTGCTGCATTGAAACACAGAGCATCTAATTAATTTTTGCCTCTTTCCTATAATCCCGTTGATTCTTTGACTGTGCACTCGTCCAACTGAATTCCTAGTCCTGAAAAGCTGTTTGGTTTAAACTAGCCTTCTTTTCCTCTCTCTGAATGTGGCACTGTTTGAATACAGAGTTTACTGTTCGGCAAATGAATCTAACGATCTTTTACTAAATTCATCCGGTCCCTCCATTTGATGTGGCAGTTTTGAATGTCTTTTGAACACAAAATATCACTTTTATTTCTGTACTGCTCTCATGTAATTGCATTCAGTTTGTGACGATATCGTCAGGGTCTTTGGTTGGTTACACTCAGAACAAATTTTTGTTATGCGTTTTTGCTTACATGCAAAGGCAAAAATGCATATTGTGACGACCCCGGTGTGTGTGTATATGTGTGTGTATGTGTGTGTATATGTGTGTGTGCGTCTGTCTGGATATTTGAACTCGGCACCCAAGCAAGCGCCGGCGCCGAAATTTTGCCGGTGGGTTCCTCGGCCAAGTGCCACACCAGGACCGCGGTACCAGCCCTCACGCAAGTCTGCGCTGCGCATACGAAGGGTGAAAGTTTTGGCGGGAAAGTCGCTAACTCGGAAACCAGAAAAGCAAGAAAGCTGAAATTTTGAGATTATATCTCCCGTCTCCACAGAACTCAAAGATTTCAAATTTATTCTCCAGGCATGCGCGGTTCCCGCGTATGGCCCCGCGAGGGTTCCTGGCGCGAAAATCGCTAACTCGGGAATCAGGAAAACTAGGGAGCTGAAATTTTCAGGGAATGTTTCCAGTACAAGTACAACTAAGAATTATCAAATTCAGCCCTTCAGTGTGAGTGGTTCTCACATACGGCCGCATGAAGTTTTTTGGCGGGGAAATGGCTAACACGGGAGCCAAAAAAGCCCGGAGGCTGAAATTTTCAAAGAATGTTCCCAGTCCATGTACAGCTTAAATTTATTGAACCTAGCCTTCGGGCGTGCGTGGCTTTGCTGTACGGCCCCGTGAATATTTTTGGCAGGAAAATTGCTAACTGAAGAAAATTTGAAAAGTTGAAATTTCATCGAAATTTCCCCTGCCCAAATACCGCGTAGACAATTAACTTACCAGACTTCGAGGACCAATATATCACACATTTCTAGCTATCGGGTTCCCAAGCGATCTCACTGCAGTATGAAATATTGCAAAAACGCATGATCGCACGGGCCTGCCCGGTGCGCGTCGCCACTGATTTTAATTCACTTTCTATGCAAAGCAATGGCACACGAAAGTAGTCCGAGTGATGGGAGCATGCGTCAGCCAGCAATCATTTGCTGGCAAGCGTGTCTGTAGTTTCTTCTTCTGAAAGTTGCTAGAAGCAAGCCGGTAAAGGCTGACAGTAATTTATAATTAAGACGATTCGTTCATCCAATTCGTGAAAAACAGCGGTGCTTCTCGACCTTCGTAGGAAGGATTGTTTGCATCGAAGTCCCACTGTCGACCTTCGCAAGAAAAGCAGCGCTGCTCTCCATTACAACAAGCCTACCTTAATTAAAAATGCTTATTAAAAACTGGGCGAATCCGCTAAGTCTAGCCGAATATTGCCCTTTCTCTTGGCTCTGACCTTGTTCTTATACAAATTACGTTGCTTCGGAAGATTTTATTGAAATGAGTGGGATCTGTCCCAAGGAGCACCCCTGATAGAGCATTTTGAAAATTAATTTCCAAGATAGTACAAGAACCATGTGCATGTTATTTGTAGCGAACAATCCGGTAGTTGATCCGCCAGAACAGACGGTGAAGGAGAACGATCCAGCACGGTTCCGGTGTTGGGTGCCCGGTAATCCAACCGCTGTGCTTCGTTGGAGACGAGTTGACGGCGGTCCACTCGGATTTGGTGTTAGTGATAATCAAGGAATTCTGTCGATATCCCATGCACAAATGTCGGATGCTGGCGAATATGTCTGTGCAGCGCAGGACCCAGATGGTGGAGCTCCAGCGGATTCATCTCCTGCTCGTCTTATCGTTGAAAGACGTTAGTTCTTGTGCAAGGCTTTTTGTTGCAAGCATCTCGAAAAAATTTCCCATGCATGCTATAAGATGAATGAGTATGACAGTAACAGACAAAAATTCTGCCATTCAGGAAAAAGCATCAATTTGTTCCTTAGATGGTAGCACCAGCAAAGGTAGGAAAAAAAGCGAAAACAAATGTGCTTCTATTTTCGGTTTTGTCATCGATATAAATCAACAGATTGCAATTTTATTTATTGTATTTCACATGTTTTCACTAACAGTAGTTTTTTATTTTTTAAGTGTTAAATACAAGTGGAAAATCCGTTTCGTATGCCTTCCAACGAAATTCAAGAATGTGACTTTGTGAAAGTTTAAAACTCCCTTTTCCCCGTTCCTTCCTCTTTTCCAAAAAGTTTTTAGCACAAGTTTCCAGTGTTCACTGATAGTTTTCTGAAAAGTTTTGACGTTTTGCATCTGTCAATTTCGCATCGGCGTAAATGTAATCGTAACATTTCTGTAAATGGATGCACTTGCCTATGGCACACTATGTTCTGTCACCTTTTGTGTTAGCAATGTGCCTGCACATTTTGTTCGAAAAATTTTCAATCTGTGCACTTGTGCACTTCCTGTTTTTGCGCAATTTCCTACAGCGGTGCAATATGTTTGAAGCGCGTCAACCAGCTCTGCCACGACAGGAGCATCCTCGAATACCACAGGTTGATCCACTGGAACAAACAGTGAACGAAGGTGATCGGGCCCAATTTCACTGCTGGATGCCTGGTGATCCAAATGTTCGTCTGAAATGGTCCAAAGCAGATGGCACTTCGTTACCTCATGGAGCTTCGGATAACGGAGCTGGTATGCTGTACATCCCAAGAGCTCAGATACGACATGCAGATTTATATGTTTGTTCGGCGATTGATCCGCGAGGAGGTGATCCAATTGAGTCAGTCCCGGTGGAGCTTAAAGTCGAGCCAACTGGTCGAAAACAGCAAATTGGAAGACGTAATTTCATTTGTTAATTTGTGTCTTGACTGCAGGAATGCTCAAAATTATTACTCGCTTTTGCATACTTATGAAATGCAAAATCACAATGGCAAGAGGATGTCTGTTTGTGCGTGTATGTATGTATGTATGTGCGTGTGCACGTGTGTGTGTTCGCATTTGGTAACTCGGTTTCAACTAAACAATTAGAAAACTAGTAAATTGAAACTTTTGGAACATTTTCTTGCCATGTGCTACCCTCCTACTTATAATCACTCATATGTGCTTGGGTCTTACGTATAGACGCCTAAAGAAAGACACGTAAATTTTTTGGCGAGGAAGCGACTTCGAAAACCAAACAAGATAGGGGGCTGAAGTTAATGTTTTATGTGCTTCAAATTCAGATTTAACGTACGCCTGTCCGAATATATTAAAACTGGGATTGAGATACTGTTCGCAAAATGCCTACTCGGGAACCAGGCTGGTAAAATTGTTTCGTCTTAACGAGGATACTTGAGCAAATAGACTTAAAATACGCTATGGCATTTATCTGTCTCGCATGTTCGGACACGTCAAAAGTATTTGTAACGAAAAGCGATTTTCCCAAATAGTTATGCTAGGGACATTCTATGGCCTTGTCTGACTAAAGGATACCCTATGCCCATGTGCGACAAAATATTTCAAATTGACTTCGTGACGCGCCTAAGTCTTACATGCACGCAAGTGGCCATCTAGTTCGGGACGCTGTTGATATCTAGCTAAATCGGTAAGTGGACTAAGTGGAGAGCAATACTTTTCTTAGGATGTTTGCTATTCATTTGCGGGTCACCAAGCCTAAGATGAGTTTTTCCTATGCATGGGCCGTGCATATAAGCGTATCTGATGTTCAGGTTGTAACACCGCAGTCACACTCAAGTAGTACAGGTAATCTCTCCACAGGATGGAATTGTGCGAAAAACGCATAACCGCACCAACAGACTTAATGCATCGCGACTTGGGTTCCATTTTGCACTCAAGCTTGAACCACTTCTCGTTCATGTCAGTTGCAAACTGTTCGAAAAGCACAACGCTCATCTTGTGTATTTAATTGTGCCTGATTAGCACTAAACACTACCATAACAGCATGAGGAAAGGTGTGCCGCTTTATTTTTTCTCAAAGTTTCTAGCTCGAGCTTCATCGGGTAATTTTTTTTTGTAGCTGTAAAAATCGTACTCATGAAAAATACTGATTTTTTTTCTTTTTATTTAAGCAGTTACGTTTCGGAAATTCACGGCTTCTGAAAAAAGTGTATTGAACTGACCTGAATTTTGCTAGAAATGAAGCAAATTTAAGTTTCCAGACTCATTACAATTTAGAGAAATTTTTGCTGATAAGCGATTCGCATTTCGAAAAAACTAATCACAACTCTTTGTGGATGTTTGTGTACTCTGCTGCTTTTTTTGTAAGCGCCTATACTTTTCTTTTGTCAGTTTTTTGGCTTCAGTTTCAATTTGTTTTTTGCTTCATTACCACTGTTCGATGGTTGCCGATGGACGCGTACAGTTTTTCCTCGTATGTCCTCTTTATTAACATTGCCAGTCTTTTTTCTCGCCGTTTTTACCTGCAGTTTCTTGTTTTCCAATTGTTTTTTTCTTTTTAAAATCACTGTTTTTTGCGCACTCTTTGCTTACTGTTTCTTACGTTTGTTTTTATGCCATTTTAGCTGTTTTTCAATTTGTTAATTTTTTAACTGGCAGCTACTGCTGTTGGGAATATCTAGTTGTGCGCTTCAGCAGAAGCCGCGTTGGGATCACCGCAGGTGGATCCGATGCATCAGACAGTTGAAGAAGGCGACCCGGCGCAAATTCGTTGTTTCGTCCCAGGCCATCCTCATGCAACATTATCCTGGAGAAAGCAGGATGGACATCTACCGGAAGAGGCAACCCAGCAAAATGGCGTTCTTTACATTCCACAGACAGAACGCGAAGATGCAGGAAATTACATTTGTTCCATGGACGATCCTGCTGGTGGTCCACCAGTTGACTCGACCCCGGCACGAATTGATGTTAAACAGCGTATGCTTTATCAGATTTTTTCTTTTTTGCCAGTTCAGTGGCTTTTGCACTGGGTAAATGCTTTTCAGTATGATTGGATGAATCTTTAGTCTTAGAATTATTCAATATGTCACTGCTGACACGCTAGAATCATGATTCTCTTCTCAAATTACAATCAGCAATTAAAGATGAACAAAAGATATTGTGGGCACCAGTTCAGAATTGAGGACATTTACAGGTCAATTTAATAGTATTCATATTGATTTTTATTCGCTTTACTCATGCATCGAAAAGCTACCATGCCTTATGTGTGTGACTACTTATAATAAAAGAAATATGTGAGCTAGGAACTTTGAACACTGAAAACAAGCTACCTGGTCTTGTACAAGATTCCAAACCAGATTAGCTTCCAGTTCAGGCTTTTGATCTCAAGTCAAAATCCAAGCAAATTTCTAACATGAGAGCAAAAAAAAAATTATCAATTCAGTTGTCGAGAGAAAGTCCCATACTATGTATACTGCTACAAGTCTAGGATCAACTCACATCTGTAAGCTGTTCCACGTTCGATTACAGCTCAAGAATAAGCAAAATCACAAACTCGAAATCCTGCAGTTTTATTGCAACACGCAGTGCAAGTTTGAATTCTTGAAACCCTCCTTCGAAACACATTTTTCCCTTATCAGTGAATTCACGCTCAAGTTTATGGTATCAGAAGGGAGCGAATTATAAACTTGAAATTTAGAGTTTTAGCTCAGTCACAATGCTAAATGGATGATCCGGAATTCGATGTGAACTCACTAGGTGACAAATTCCTGAGATCGGATGTTGCCTGCTCAAATTATGCTGTAGCAGTGCAAATGTCTTTTTCATTTTTTAGCACAAGTACCACAAGTGGACCCAGTAGTGCAGACTGTGGATGAAGGAGCGCCATCACGCATTCGCTGCTGGGTTGAAGATAATCCGAACGCTGAGTTGAGCTGGAGTAAAGAGAGTGGCGAACTACCACATGGAGCGGTTGATTCACGTGGAATATTGTCGATACCTGAGACAGCGATGGAAGATGCAGGAGAATATATATGTACAATGCATGACCCCCATGGTGGTTCCCCAGTGCATGCACCTCCTGCTACAATCAACGTACGACAAGGTTTGCTTCTATTTAGCACACCACTGTGCATTTTTTGCATATCTGGTTACGTGGCCTTTACTTGCGCAATGGTACACTTAGCCTGATTGCTGTTTTTTTCTATGTTACCTTTTTGAGTTTTCGAAGTGCCCTTCTTTCCTCCGGTTTTTCTTATCTTCCTAACAAGCATAACAAGCAGTTATAATTATTTCCGTTGAACATTTCGTATATTGAGTTTTTAGCATTCATTTCTCTGCGTTTAGTATTTCTTTCTGATTTTTTTCTTTTATGTTTCTGAAGTGAACTAACGCAAAACACGTGCGTGACATGTTGTAGAAGAGAAAACGCTGCTGGTAAATCCACTATCGCTAACAGTCAACGAGGGTGAATTGGTTCGCTTCCACTGCTACATTCCTGGAGAACAGGGAACCGTGGGGCTTCACTGGAGCTTCAAGAAACGCGGCGGAGCTTTGCCGAACGGAGCTTATGAATATTTGGGCATGCTGGTTATTGAAAAAGCAAGACTTTCCGACGCTGGAACGTACATCTGCACAAGCAACAAGACTGATGAACTGAAGAGTGCTCCTCCAGCAGTATTAACTGTGATTGCAAAAGACGGAAATCAGGAAGTGATAGAAGGCGTTCATGGTGAGCAAGACAGGGAGCACGCCACTGTTGATTATGGGCATGGAATTAATGAGGAAGAAAAGGGTGCCAATCAAGAATACGAGCATGGTAATAACGAATACAATAACCAAGAATATGGTGAAAATCATGAATATGAGCATGGGAATAACGTTGAAGACGAGCATAAAGAGAATCGTCACGAGCACGGTAAATGTTGCTGTTTTCAGTTTCCTTAAGTTTGTTTTGGTTCTCTTAACAACTCACCGAAAGCACAACTTTTTCAGCGATCTTTTATTTCATTTAAACTGTGCAGTTAAGTTTCTTGAATTTTCCGCTTTTTTAATCGTGTTGTGGACTGGACTCATCGTTTCGCCCATTCTTCCGCGTTTTTGTTTTCTTCTACCTTTGAACCGACTTGAAATAAATTTCCCGGTTAAAGCTTCCTGGCACATGGCTGTTTTGACTTTGTCTCAAAATTCTTTTCCCCCGCCACTTTCTCTAATAATGATCATTTTTCCTCTGTGCACTGTTTATGTGCTATATCAGGTTCGCATCATTAGAGCTGCTGAACTGCGGTCATACCCTTGCAGTCTGTTAATAATAACACACAGAAGGAGTGAGCTTATCGCTGCGCGTATAAATGCATGTGTGTATGTGCTAGTTATAGTTCGATGTACTTCCAATTTAGTGTCAGAAAAGTCATTCATTTTGGTCGTTTCACTTTGCGCTGTGTCAGTACAGTGCAAAGTTTCCGATCTGTTGGCATCTCACTTTTGTGAAGCAACGCACGAGAACAGCTTCAGCGCGTTTTTGGACAAGCGTAGTATTTCCCATATCAAAGTAGTATTTCCCATATCCGTTTCTTGCAACTAGGTCGCTTGGTGTTTCCAAGTCGTTTTTATGCGTTCTTTGGCGTGCAGCGTTAGAGTGCTACAACAGGCAGCAAAAACGCATACTGAAACACCCTATCAGTGTATGTGTGTGTATGTTTGTGTGTATATTTGTGTGTGTGTTTGTCTGTCCGGTTATTTCTGCTTGCCAACCGCGCAAGCTTTGATGCTGAAATTTTACCCGGGTGTTCCTTGGCAAAGTGCGACACCAGTTCTGTCACGCACGTCTATGATACCAACTGACAGGCACGTCTACGTCTCACGCACGGACACGTGGGTGTTTTGGTGAAGAAATGCTAGCTCGAGAACGAGAAAAGCTGGAAAGCTGAATTATTAGGAGAATGCTCCCTCTCCATGTACGACCAAAAGACCTCAAATTCAGCTCCTTAGAACCAACCATGTCTCACATACGGGCACATGAAACTTTTGGCGGGAAAGTTGCTAGCTCGGGAGCGAGATAAGCTGGAAGGCTGGAATTTTAAAGAAATGTTCCCTGCTCATGTGCGACTAAGAGATTTCAAATTCAACTCTTCTAGTGGAATCTTTTTCGCGTACTACCAACTTTCCATTTGTCAGGACGCTGAAGCCGATATCTACAACTGACATGCCACAAAGCTGCACAGTTAACTTCGTGAACTTCATGAGCCAGCACGTCACAAATTCTAGCCATTTTGATCCCTTACAATCTTGCTACTGCACGAATTAGTTCAAAAATGCATCATCGCACAACCCGCCTGGTGCGTTCCAGCCTGGGTTTGTTACGCATTTTTGCTGCGCAGCGCTACCGTGTTGCTACCCTAAGCTTTTTTGCTTACGGTAGCGTTCTTGCTTACGGTATGTTGTCAAGCGATCATTCTTGTGTGTGTGTGTGTGTATGTGTGTGTATGTATGTATGTCTAGAAGTGAGTGAAATTTGTCACCCATTTTCAACTCAGCAGCCAGGAAAGCAGGCAAGCAGATCCCCCGTTTCATTCTTCCGTTTTAAAATTTTCGCCCGTACTTGCCTAGATCTCGGGCCTAGACGGTCTCCAAAAAAATATGCAAATTTCTCTGGCAGAGATGATTTCGTGAACCAGACAAAATAAAAAGCTGAACCTTGCAGGGATATTCTCTTTGCAGGCATATGCTAAAGGTTTTAAATCCAGCTATCGCACACGCTTGTACCGTGCGTACGGTCAAGTCAAATTTCACACTTGGCACAATGCTAACTCGAAATCTAGCCGGAAAACAGTAACTAAAATTTTGCCAGAATCGTATATCTAAACTGAGCTTCGACCTGTATTTGCCCCACGACTTAGAGTATTTCAAAAATATTTGTAGCGAAGTAGTTATACGCTAACTAGACAAGTTTCAAAGCTAAAACTTTGCAAGGATATTTGTTATTCACGTGTAGTCGTGATTTAGCTCGTGGGTGAAATTTCCTGCATGCAGACAGGAAAAACACTCAATTTTATTCATAGGCAGGTCCAGGGCGGTCTCCTGGGAAGGGGGGGGGGACGATTTTATCGCCTCCCCTCCTCACTTCGTCACTACACCCCCACCCTCTAGGCAGCTTCCAGTCTATCCTTCAATTGTTGCGCTGCCTCACTCCCCCTCTCCGCTTTAATCAGTGGACACTAAAACTGAGACTGACAAGGCCCCCCTTCCCTGGATCCTTCGACGATTTCATCGCAAACTCAAAAGCGAGTGCATTTTGCAGATTTCATAATTCTCTTCCAACTTTTTTAAATTTGCATCTTTTATTGAACAAGCATTCACCGGAAAAACGAACAGGCTTCATAAAAAAAACGTGATAATCATGCGATTCCACAATGTAACACCTTCGTTTCAACCCTTTCCCCTTGCATGCGGAAAAAGGCCAAAAAGCAGCCAGTATGAGTCCAAGTGTTAAGTTAGAGCGCAGGAACCATTCCCGCTGTAAGCAATTTGCAAGTTCAGCGCAAAAACTCATGGTCTCACTAGGAAGTCAGGTGTGTTGTAGTCAATCTGGGTTTGACCAGTATTAAATTTAAAATTTTTTTCCTTTAACCAAATTCAGTCTGGCTTTTTCCATCCCGCGGCACCAACTGGTTTATTCTGTTTGAGTTTGTTGTTTTTTGTAGAAATTAATTTCATGTGTAATCCAGTGTTTATCCCGACTACCCTTTTTTTCTCCCTTCTCTCCGTTATTACTCCCTCTCCCTTTTCCATTCGTCTGTTTTCTTTATATTCGACTTCTGCGTATCCCAAATTTTTTGATGGAATCATTGAGCGGTTGCAGTTGGTAAACCGCCGCAGCCAGTAGCAACACCAAGCGATCAGGTCGTTAAAATCGGTGAACCAGCACGGTTCCACTGCGAGCCAAATAGTGACACGCCAGCGAGGGTCAGTTGGGGATACGAAACTGCTGATGGACCTTTGCGCGGCGATGTTGTACCGGAAGGGGACGATTTGCTGATCAGCAGAGCAGACGAATCGAACGCCGGTGATTATGTATGTACTGCGACCAACGAATATGGAACTGGAGAAGCGGAGCCTGTTCGACTTCATGTCACTGAAAGTATCAATTTTTCCACTCTTGGGTCGTTACAGTGATTGTATAGCTTAGGAAGACTGCAGTACGATTATTTTTCTACATAAATTTCGGCACGGATCCGGATATCATTTGGCTTGTGCTTCATCAACATTTTGAGCAGATCTATCGGAATGCACTTTTTGTCAGCATTATGCATCTAAAGCAGCGAGAAGCTGACGTTCCAATGTTATTTCAAAAAATCAAAAATCCCTTAGCATTCGCTCTCACTAAGGAGTAGATGCATACGGGAAGTAGCCCAAGTGATAACAAATGCCAACAGCAGCTGGCTACTGACAAGGCTGCCGATATTCTCCTCCTTCGAGAGTTTTTTACAAACAATTTGATGGTGGGTTTGGCTCTCTGACAAATGCCAGTACTAGTTTACCATTCTTCCAGGACAGCCATTTCAAAACTGAATTTTTTGCTAGCAACTTGTGTCATATTGTTTCGGGAATTGAGAATATTTCGTAACACAAATCGAGTATACTAGTTTTCTAGCTATTAGTCGGATAAAATAGCATATTGTTGCAGAAGAAGTGCTACCGACAGCTCGAGTAGTACCGCGGGTGTGGAATGGACAGCCAGGCGAAAAGCATCAGTTCCAATGCATTACAACAGGATCACCAGAACCTACAATTGTTTGGACCGGGCCAGATGGTGAAACATTGCCTGACGATGTAAATGATATCGGAGGTGGATTTTTGGATTTCCAGAATGCTCGAACCGATATGAACGGTGATTACACGTGCACAGCAACGAATATAGTGGGCGAGGCTAGCGATCACGGATCCGTAAATATTGGACCATCACTCACAGTACGAACAACTCCACCCGGACCACGAATCGTACTCACTGCAGGTGAACCATTGGAAGTAAAATGCGAAGCATTCGGCGAACCGGAACCGGAAGTCGAATGGCTACAGTAAGTGTTACTTTTCTTTCTGTACATTATTGCATAATTAATACAATAACAAAGGCTGGAACGCACCAGGCGAGCCGGTGCGATCATGCGTTTTTGCATCAAAACTAA